TTTGCTTTTAACTGTTGGATGCTCCATACATTACTTTCGACTGACACTAAGTGCATTTTTAGAGTTCAGTGACCAGCATATTCAGGGATACATCTGAGGTGATTATGGGGCAAATGAAGGCATTGCACAGACAGTAAAAATCCTGGTGCATAATGAAATTTTCTTCCAGTCTCCAAACTTTGAGCCTCGCTGTAACATAAAATTTTAGTAGAGAATCCAGAATTACAGTTTAGGTATCCCAAGAAAAGAAGAAGGCAAGAATACCAAGGAAATGCAACATGATAAATGCAAGTGTTCTAGGTGTGAAAAAATGCATTGCTTTACCCTGCAATACTAGAAATGTGGGGATTGAATGAAAATTTCATTGAGAGGCAGAATTCTTATGTGGGGGTCCACTGTTCTAATTTTGCTCGCTTGGAGAATACTCATGTGGCCACTGTCATGTAGGAAGCAGGAAATCCTGCAGTTTTGCATATGAATGTGTGTGAGCAAGAATTTTTGGCTTTAGAGCTGTGATGGCGAACCTATGACATGCGTGTCAATACTGACATGCGTAGCCATTTTCGATGACATGCAGCCACATGCGGTTGAATACAGAGAAGTATGGGGCTGCATGCCAAGAAGGACGTTCTAAATGGCTTGGGTTCTTCGTACTTAAGGGAGTGCCTCTCTTTCTATATATGCCTGCCTGAGAACTAAGATGTATTGGTGGGCCCCATTTCTGTGTCCCCTTAGTAAGGGAAATGCATTGCGGGAGAACATGGGAGAGGGCATTTTCTGTGATGGATCCTGGTTATGAAGTTCCCTCCCCCTGGAGGCCCAAAGGATGACAATGTCTGGCAAATTAAAGCTCAGCTATTAAAAAATTAAAGTCTCAACATGACTGGTAGCATATAAACATTTTAAGAGCTTCGAAAAGTTCACTGTTTGGACAATAACTTCCAAAATTCCAAACTTCTCCTGAGTAACTAGAAGACTCTGTAAGTTGTAGTTTTAAAAATAAATTTTCAATATACTGAAGCATTTCATCAACAAATGACTCTGATTGGCCAAGAATAGAATAGGCATTTAACCAGATGCAAACTCGTGAATTTATTTTGAGTAACCTGTTTTCTGACTTTTGTGGCCAGGATGAGTAATTACCTGGGCAGGAGTCAGAGAAAGAAAGCCAGACCATGGATGGAAAATAAAGTTGCTGAGGCATATTGTACCGTTTATAAGTGTGCAGGTAGAATGGAAAATACAGAGAAAGGAAATATTAAGTGAAAAATGGGAATGATGCAGCACTCCAGAGGTGACTGAACTACAACTCCAGCAGCACTAGTCAGCATAAGCCCTTTCCACACAGCTGTATAAAATCCACATTGAATTGGATTATAGGACAGTGTGGACTCAGATAATCCAGTTCAAAGCAGATATTGTAGATTATCTGCCTTGATCTTCTGGGTTATATGGCTGTGTGGAAGGGCCCTTAGTTAATGAAGAGAAATGCCAGAAACTTCAGAGTTAATGAAGAGGAATGCTAGAGGGTGCCATACGACACTGTAAAAAACCGTATAATTCCCATCCCTATATTAAGAAAAGAAGTCAACTCTGCCTGATAAAAAAATGAAATGAAACATAAGAAGGGAAAGTGAGAAATTCTACTTGTGAAAGATGAGTTGCAATAGAAATAGAATGGATATTGAACAGTTGTATTTGTATTTGTAGTAATGGCTGGGAATAAATGGTAATCTTAATCTGACATGATCTTAGAGAAAGAGAGACTGAGAGAATCAAGTACTTCTTCCTTTCACTTCCCCATCTTCTTCCAGTTATTCTTGGATGCGACATTAAAGAGTCTCATGTTCCTGTTCTCACACTTTCATTTAAGATGCAGGAAAACAAATCTGTTAACATATAGGCTGCAGTTATGGTGTGCTCATCTAAAACATAAAGAACAAGTGCACCCATGGATGACTTCCTAATTGCAAATGACTTTTTTCTCTCTCCACTGGCTTGCAGATGTCTGGAGATTCAGATCACTGCCTTTCTCACACAAGGCTATTTTTATCACATCTTAGATCATACTGAAGGGCTTTTTTAAAGTGTGCAGGCATGTGTAGAGACAAATATTGGTTATCCTGACCTTCAGCTAGTCCTACAGGTTTTTAAAAAGGCAGATTTGATTGATTTGGGAAATGGGGGAATCCACTACAGGACTGTGGATTGTGAAACTTGCAAATTCTTACATGGGGGTCACCTTTGTGTTGCAAGTAAACACTATCCATTATCCCGAACCTTGCAACTAAGGCACATGTACAGAATGAGTGAAGCATTAGGAAACAATAGTGGCTGATGGCGTCCGTGTTACTAGGATGAGAATAAACTCCAGGTTTTAGTCCAAACATAAGAAACTATTGTGCTTTAGACTAGTAGACTAGCCTGTATTTTAACTGCATTTTTCACAACTTAAATAAAAATTTGAGAATGGAAAATGGGGAAGTATAAGAGACCTTCTCCGCAAAATAGATTTGGCACCTTGGAGAGCTCATTGGATATTTAGACCAGTGGTTCCCCAATCTGTGGTCCATGGACCACCAGTGGTCCGGAAGATCTAAAATATGGTCCGTGACCTCACCATTATTAAACCATTGCAATAAGATCAACTGGTCTTGCAAAACCCTCTTATAGTGCTGAGGCATATTATTATTATTATTTTTTGTGGGCGAGCAGATGGCAATTATTGGATAACATATGTTCTGTATCAGAAAGTAGAGATGATGTGGTCTATCCAATACAATTTTCTGAATCAGCACCCCAAATAAACAAACTGAATCCAAAAACTGATTCATAACCCTTTTGGTACTAATGTCGGAGAGTGGTCCCTAGTCAAAGTAGTCCTCAGTCAGGTGGTCACTGGTAAAAAAAAAAAAAAAAAGGTCAGGAACCACGGATGAGAGCTATCAGTGTAATTCAGGGGTCCCCAAACTAAGGCCCGGAGGCCGGATAGGTCAAGGTCATATACCCGGCCCCCACTCAGGGTCAACCTAAGTCTGAAATGACCTGAAAGCACACAACAACAACAACAACAATCCTATCTCATCAGCCAAAAGCAAGCCCACACTTCCCATTGAAATACTAATAAGTTTATATTAGTTAAAATTGTTCTTCATTTTAATTATTGTATTGTTTTTAAGTGTTTTTTTGCACTACAAAAAAACACTTATGTGCCGTGTGCATAGGAATTCATTCATGCTTTTTTCAAATTATAATCCGGCCCTCCAACAGTTTGAGGGACTGTGACCTGGCCCTCTGTTTAAAAAGTTTGAGGACCCCTGGTGTAAGCAATATGTTTGCAAGGGTAACTGACACTTTTCTGTATCTTCATTTTTTTGGCTAAATTACATTACATCCTAAATTCTTGGGCAACTGACATTTGCAATTTGCTGCAAATCAACTTCAGTGTATAGCAACCTAATGAATAAGACATCTCTAAGATTTCTCATCATTAATTGTCCTGCTCAGGTCTTGCAAAACCAGGACTGAGGCTTTTTGAATTGAACCAATCTAACTGTATTTCAGACTTCCTCCCTCCTTTTTGTCATCCTCTCCTCCAAAACCATGTTTCAAATGAGTTGATTTCCTTGTCGCTTTTCTTCACTATCCATCTGTCACAACCAATCACAGAAATCAGAAATACTGGAGCCTGGATAATTTTAATTCTGCAATGATATGATTTCTTTACCAATGAAGATCTAGTCCCTTCATGGCTGCATTACCAAATCTTAGTCTTCTAATTTCTTGACTAGGGTCTCCATTTTGGTTAATGGCACAACTAAGGTATAGGAATTTTAAAAATTGTTTCAGTGCCTTCATTACAGATTTTAAAATTATGTTACAGAATTTGTGTAACTGAAGCAATTACAGTCAACCCTCCACGTGTGCACGTTTAACTTTTGTGGATTTGATTATTTCCTGATTTGATTAATATATTCACTCTAGGAATCTTTAGGTCCTCCATGGTCTTTAGGAATCTCTAGATTTTCTAGGGCCATTATATGGCCAACCTCTGGCAGATTCCTAGAGATTCCTAGAAAGGTGTTCTCTCAGGTAAAAATAATAGCATTTTTATTTGTGCTTTTTTCCACTTTTCTGTCCCTAACCCCAGAAAAAATGGAGGACGTACTGAATAATTATGATAGTAGACATGCAGGTCAGTAGTTTTATTCAGGTGATCAAAACAAAGACCAATAGCATTGGGTCCCACTCTAGAAGAAATCAGGCAAACGAAATATATAGAAAATAAGAGTTGGATTAACTTGAATATTGTTTATATGCTAAACATAGTTAATTTGCGGGACAAATGAGAAGCATGTGGTTCTCCAGAAGAAATATATGGTGAAGCAATCTGTGAGGTTCAGTCCAACAACAATTAGGGAACAACAATGTGTGTTCTATGGTATGAATTAGGGTTATGAACAATGCTTCATCAGTTTGCGGTGGTAATTCTCTTCCTAATACTATAGAATTTCTTCAGCTCATACTAACCCTCAAAATCTATATGAGGTGTTTATAGAATGTCTAATATGCATAGGTACTGTATATAATGGTAGATTGGGATTCTGAAGATTTTCGTTCCAAACTATTGATTTTTGTCATGTATAACTTATCATTTTTCTGATTTTTTTTGCTTTTATTGGTGTCATGTTATGTCCATCTTTAGCTGGATAGGAGCTTTAAGTTTCCTTGTATTTTATATTCTATATTATATCAGTCAAAACATCTAAGACTCAAGGGCTTAAATGAGCATAGGAAAAAACAAAAAATATCAGGATATGCTGTGGGTAGTTCTTAGCTCTGACATTATCGAGAGTGGTCTTGTTTAGACCACTATTTCATCTCTTTGCTATCTTATTCTTGCACACCTCATTTCCTGCATACAGAGCCATAGAAATAGATCATGAGGGTGATGTGGCTACTGCACGAGGTCAGTCAACCAAGCACCCTTCTGCTCTATTTTCAATCTGCATTAGTCTTGGACCCCTCCAGTGTATGTTCTTCTTTTCCTTTTTTGTTCCTCTATTTGACATCATTTCCTGAGTGGTATCTTGGTTTAACAGCAAAGCCAGACCTTCTTCTCTCCACACAATGCAAGAAGATGTTTAAAATGGATGTCCATCTTTTCCCCCTCTTGCCATGCCTTGTGTTGATTCTGACCAGTATTGATGGTAAGTGGAACATTTCTTTATAAAATCAGCATTGCTTTGGTTAGGTAAGCAGAAACAGTCATTTTATTCAGGTGTTCCCCCCGCTTCAGAAGAGTAAGACTAAGGGAAATATTGCTCTCACAATCGCCAAAGCATGAAAAGGGACAGGCACTCCAAAGTAAGACGGATCTTTCCTCATAAAACTAATTGTAACTCTATTTTCTCAATGCTCTACATTTGAAATGCAAGAGAAATAAGGATTGCTGAGTTTCTGCATGCAATATAATAGTCAGAATGGGAGACTGGACAACTTGGTTCTAGGATATCTTCTTATTTATTGATGTGACATGCAGGAAATAATTTAATGATCCCAAAATAATTTAGTTGCCCTGGTCCATGCACACAGGTTTCCAAGTAATCTTCTGTTTTAAGCTCTTTTTGAAAATTGTACTTTGATCCTTTTGTATATCATTTCATGTCTTTGGAAACAGTAACCAATGTTACTACTCTAAATCTATCCAGACTTGCAAGCAGCGCTCTATAATTGGCATCATTTGAATATTGTGCAGTAGCTAGAGAATATTTCTATTATTGTTTTTTGTGCCATATCAATATATTTCTGCTAGTCATTGCTTTTTTGAGACTGATGAATTAAACAAAGACCAATTTCAGACTGATACATCAGGACAAATGACAGTTTAAGGCTATTAAAGATAATGCTCATTCAGTGTCACCCTCTTCCGAATTAAATGCTTTACCTGGATAAAATGCTACATTTTAGTTGTTTTACTTGCTTGCAAAATGTATAACTATGTACCCTTTCAAATGAGATGCTGTCATAAATTTGACATCTGTGAACTGAACCAAAATGTATAGTAGTGGTTGAGATGCTATCTAATGTGCGAGACCGGCAAATTTTCCCCACAGTGTGCCAGGTTGACTACAACTGTTTCCTTGCTGTGAGTTTTCCAGGCTGAATGGCCATGTTTCAGAAGCATTCTCTCCTGACATTTCACCCACATCTATGGCAGGTATCCTCAGAGGTTGTGAGGTTGACTCTGAGGATGCCTTCCATAGATGTGGGGGAAACATCAGGAAAGAATGCTTCTGGAACATGGCCATTTCGCCCAGAAAATTCACAACAACCCAGTGATTCCGGACATGAAAGCCTTCAACAACAGTTTCTTTCTTTTCTGGAAACTCACAATGGGCTGGCAAACAATATCTTGTAGAGCAGCACTCATACAAAAAACTATTGTTTTGAGTAGGTGTAGTGTAGAGTTCTGTCTTACTGACTTCAATGGAACCTATTTCTGAGGAATAAGAAAAAAAATGTAGCCTTTCTGTGCCATCTTATAAATGCCAGACAAAAGCCTTAGTGAGTTCAATGGGACTTTCCGTCAACCAAGTAAATATGTATAGAACTGCACTGGTCATCACTAAGGACAGCCTGTGTGATGAACTGGATATTAGTGAATTTATAGACACATGGTTTGTGCCCATATCTCGATGGATCTAAATTGAAATGGTATTTAGTTATGAGGGAACAGAAGAAAAGGCAACTAGATATTTTTCAGATGTGTCCTTCACACAAACAAACAAACAAACAAACAAACACTTATCATCTTTTTGTATTAGGGATCACAGTATGGTCAAAATTAGGGCTATTTCTTCCTGCACATTCAACAACTTCAGAGAATGCTTGCCATGATGTTGAGACTTTTCCTCCTTATGTCAGTACCAAGCCAGATATGAATATTCCTTACAGCACAATAATAACAAACTTTGTTCCTATTGCAGGTCGGGCTTGTAGTGACATAATTCGGGCTACTGGAGACATTGGCGGCAACGTTTCCATCCCTTTAGGAATTCAAAATATAAGTCAGTTCTCGGTAATGAACCAAATGAATTCAAAAAACCTCAGCATGGGTTGTTGCAGTGATAGTGATGGACGGATCTGCCTGAGGAAAGAAGTCCTGGAGATAATGAATTTAACAGAAAATGATGAAGGAAAATACACTCTTTTGTCTGAAAATGACAGCCAAACATTTTTACTGAGAGTGTGTGGTAAGTGTCCTAATTTTGGAAGCAACATTGGCAAACACTGAGAGCTTTCTGATGCAGTTTATGGGTTTATCTGCCATCATGAGCCTAAGTGGTTTTATTAAGAAAACCTGAATCACTTTTCCAATGTGTCTTATTCCCAAGTTAGCATCCAACTATAGGTTGTGTCTTAAAAATTCCTGGCCAACTAGTCTGAGCTATGCCTGAGATGCGGTGGCACACATTTCCATAAGATGAAGGCTACAGAGCAAAGCATGATTTGTGTTTGTTGTAATACTTTCATCCCACTACTTATATGATATGGACTGAAAGAAACAATGCTTGTTTCCATGCAGAGTAGTTTTGTGAATTTGTCCTCAGTCTGCTTTAATTCAAGATACCTTGCAGGGTATGGGTTCAAAAGCTCCTTAACAGTCGCAGAGCAGACAGAAGTCTAGACAATGGTCTGCCATTTTGCATGGCACAGAGGTACAGCAATGGAAAGCTTCTTTCCAATGTGAAAGTCAGAATTTTGAAACATTAATATTTTTGGAGTATAATTTTCCAGTACATTCAGAACTATCCTGTTTCCCCGAAAATAAGATGTAGCATACAAGGTCGACGCCCCCTATCATGTTCTGGTTGTTCTGTGCATGCTGGAAGCTGAAACATAGAGGGAGACATAGAAAGTGAAAGTGAACGTCTCCTCAGTGAAGTGAGGAGCAGGACACTCTGCTTTAGGCATTGTGCATCCTCAGGGGGAAGAAGTAAAGCTGTAGCTGCCATTTTACTCAGCACTGTGGGTCCCTCTCTCCCGGCATTGACCAACAACAGTCGTGGGTTTCTCTCACCCCACACAAACACCAGAGGAGAGGGGAAAAGCTTCAGCAAGCAGTCTGCTACTGAGCCCAGAGGGATCATACCATAAATGCAGATTGTTGTTCCATACTTAATAAAAATAAGACATCCCCTGAAAATAAGCCCTAGTGTGTCTTCTTGAGGAAAAACAAATGCCTTATTTTTGGGGAAACGTTTTAATGTTCTTGTCTTTATTGGGTTTTTTATGCTATTCTTTTTTAAGAATAGCATAAAAAATCCTTGGTGAGGGATTGTGGGTCCCTTAGCCAGTATGTCCAGTTTGTATGTTGGTTGGGTATTCTGGGAGATGTAGTACAAAACAGTATATTTTCTAAGCTATAACTAGAGTGACACGGGCTACAATAATTCTTACTAGGAGTAGATCCACTCAAGCTTAGTATAATTTTTATCAAAGGAGTGTGAATAGGGTTAGTCCCTGGTGACACAATGGGTTAAAGCGCTGAACTGCTGAACTTATTGACCAAAAGGTCACAGGTTTGAATCTAGAGAGCGGCATGAGCTTCCACTGTTAGCTCCAGCTACTGCCAACCTAGCAGTTAGAAAACATGCAAAATGTGAGTAGAGCAACATTTACTACTCTGGTGGGAAGGTAACAGTGCTCCATGCAGTCATGCTGGCCATATGATCTTGGAGGTGTCTACAGACAACGCTGGTTCTTTGGCTTAGAAATGGAGTTGAGCACCCACCTCCAGAGTCAAACACAACTGGACCTAATGTCAGGAGAAAACCTTTATCTTTACCTTTAAGTAAAATACAACAACCATGTTCATCACACAACCAAAGTATCAGTTTAATTATCTAAAATGATCTGTGAAGATCTTTCCCCATTCTTAGTGAAAACTTGACGTCATAGTCTAGTAACAGTCCAAGAACAAAAATACAATCTCAATACTGAAATCTTGTAAAAGCTGAGGTTTCCAGCCATAAGAACTGCTCAGAAGAGACATCCGTCTTACTGATTCCTGATATCATTCTTACTGAATTGCAAAGAACAGGGGGGAATGTAAGTTTTTATTCAAAGATGTAGGTGAGTAGCCAGTTAGCTAAATCAGTGAGGACCTGTTTATTTATTTCCTGTCACTGTAGTAAAATGAAACAACAGCTCCGCATGCATTTAGATCAGGTCATTAAAACATAAGAAAGGGATTTGGAAGCAAATATAAAAGGTTTGAAATTATGAGACAAGTGTTGAAACATTACTCTTGATGCCACCTGGAGACCAAAATGTAGACTTACACTTGCTGTGAACTTGGAAATGGGGTTTTGAAATTATAAAGGAGGGAATGGGAGAGCAAGTACTATTTTTTCCTTTATCTAAAATATATTCTTACATTTTGACCTCATAGAATGCAACCTATTCCAGCAATGTTTGCATGGCAAATTAGGCAGAGAAGTATTGGTATTGTCCTGAAGGCCTTTTGTATTGTGCAATTTTCTTTTGTGTGTGCAAAGTTCTCCTTCTGACTCTTTCTCATCATCAGACTACAGGCAGTCCCTGAGTTACTAACATCTCAGAAATTACTCATAGTTAAGAACAGGGGTGAGATGACAGGAAGTGAGAGAAATCTATCCCTTAGAAGGGGAATTCACTCCTGAAAGAATTATCATTGGGGGAAAGATGTCTGCACTGAAGCTTTCTCACCAATCCTTGTTTCCACAAAAAGCCAATTTTTTCAAAACCCAATTATCACAGGGACAGAAAGTGAGTTGAAATCTTCTGAACAGGGGCACAGACAGCAAAACAAATACAACAGTTATGTTAACCCTTCCTGTGCTATCCAAAGCCTACACACACATACACACACACACACAGACATATGGCTGGAGTTACACTTTAAAATGTATCCGTTCCAACTTACAAACAAAATCAACTTAAGAACAAACTTACAGAACCTATCTTGTTTATTCCTTGGGGACTGCCCTTATATATGTATCTTCTCTTCCCTTTTCTTCATTGTACCTTTCTCCTAACAAGCTACCTAAGGTGATTTACAAAAAAGATAAAACTAAACACGTGACGACAAAATAGTTAAGACACAATCGAACAAGCTATTGTAATAAAACACTGTTAATTGTAAAGTATCCTAAATGTGTATGACGAGGAACAGATATCCCTTGTGTAGTGTGCCCAGTGATCTGAGTTATTAAGGAACACTTTGTAGTTTTTTTTTTGTCTTGTGCCCATATACTGCACTTGGGTTTTACTCATGTGGGGACATGAGTGAGGCAGGTGCTGGTGTGTATTTGTGGGGAAGATTATTATTTTCTAATTTATTTTCTCTCTGTTTGAAGTCAGTGGTTTCAGTGAGATGGGCAGATATGCCACTGCAAGTACTATATAACTGCGGTCTCCCAGCTTGGATATCAATGTGTTGGTGGACTCCCAGTGGTCAGTCAGGTGTCGTCCAATAACACATGGGAATCCAAGCTTGGGAATCACTAATATAGAATATGTCTGTTGGAGTTCAGCCTGTGATTGTGTATAATGATCAGGGTACTCTGGATGTTGGGAGTGACAATGAGGTTCATATTTCTAATGATGTTTCTAATGATGAGGTTGATCTAGATGCAGAGAATGTCAATGGGATTCCTGTTCAAAGTGATTTTTCTGATGAGAATGTTCCTGAAGGGCTTAGGGATGATGGTATGTTCCCTAGGCCTGAATTGCTACCAGAGAATTCCCAAGACTCTGAGTCTGAGAAAAGTTTGACATCTGGGCCAGCTGTAGAAATTAATGAGCCAGTAGATAGGAGAAATGCTTTCAGTCAGCACAGACAAACAAACCAAGCTCTCAGATGCTCTGCCAGATTGCAAGAGAGATTGATAATAGAGTCAAGGCTGAAAAGAAATGCATTCCTGGATGCTTGGGATATAGAGTAGATTAGGGGATAAAAGTGCCAAGTACAGAAACTGTAGCCAGACGAAGCAATGTTGTAATTAAGTCAAGATGTTGTCCCAAGTCCCTGGAAGTCTTGCCTTGGATAGATTCCTGTGCTAAGGACCTTGTTTGATTCATGTTCAAGTTTTGGGGTTTTACCTTGGAAGTTTCAGTATTTGTTTTCATGAATTCTACTGGACTAATTTCCTGGACTATTTGTTTCTATATATCTTTCTACTTAATTAGATTTACCTATTTTGTGGATTGCTTTTTACTGCTACTGCTTTTAAAATATCTTCAATAAACTGCTTGCATTTTTACTCAGCTGTGTGGTGTTTAAAGTCAGAGGACTTTCTCTGCCTGGACTGAAACAATGTCATACAGGGCTGTAGCCAAAGGGGGGAGGAGGGGGGGGGAAGGCTCTTAGAGGTTCAACCCCCCCTCCAAAATTTTTGCGGTTAAAAAAACCCCCTGGTTTACTCATGAATTTTAACTGGTTAATCAAATTGACATGATAAGTTTATGAGAAGCAAAAATTAAACAAGTCTCTCCAGAACTGCAAGCACTAAAAGCAAATTTTGACACAGTCATTACTTGCAGCAATAGCTGTCAATAGCCGATATAGTACATGGCCAACTGTCTGGTTTTGGGTGAAAATCCTGGGACTCAAGGCAGCTTACAAGGCACTCCAACTGCAATATAACATAAACAGTACATCAGTATAATACAATATCACGTATAAAGATTTTAAAAAACTGCTATCAACACATAAAATAAAATAATGCAATTTAAAAATACAATCTATAGTTAAAACTGCCATCAATTTACAACTAAAGTGCCAGAGTGTCAACCTCATATGGATCCATTTCAGCCTACTCAAGGCCAAAAGCCTGTTCAAAAACCCATGTTTTTAGGCTGTATTGGCACAGTTTTCAAGTGTTTCCAACAGATGTTGTGGTATTCTTTTGTAACTATAAATATCAATTAACAGTCATTTTCAGTTCTTTTAAGACTTGAAACTCTGTAACTAAAATAGAAAACTAAAATAGAAAACTGATTTAATTAAGTCTATATAAAATATAGAATGAACCATACTATTTAAATTATTTTGTGTTATGAAACTATTCTTCACGGTTTGCTAAAAGAAAGCCCCCCCCCATTTTTTTTTGCTACTGCCTTGATGACATAATCCTTCTTGTGGGCAGGATTAACAATGGTTCAGTTGGTCCAGTTGCTTCAAATCCATCAACATCATTTTATGTGCTAATAGTTTGACTGGGTAGGTCTGTCTTAAATCTTGACAGCTCATTTAGCTATCTGAGCTCTTCCAGCAGGTCATTCCTGTCTAGGGACAGTCCCCAGTTGGCTTCTGAGTGGTTGAAGTAGATGCCCCCCAGAGGACCGAAGTGTGTAGATTATATGGGAGAAGGCAATCCTATAGATAACCTGGACCCAAACCCTGTAGGGCTTTAAAGGTGAAGGGGGAAGGGGTGGACAGTGGGGAAGGAACAAAATACTTAAAGAAAACAGTGTTCTGCCTGCAGTCTGGAAAGAAAGAACAGGCAGAACAAGAGCAGGTGCACAGGGTTAAAGGTAGGGAGACGGATCAGAGCATGGACACGGTGAATGTAATAGAGTTTTGCTAAGTCACCTGTGGCCAGGGATGGATTATTAACAGCTCAGTTGCTGCAAATTCCCCTGGCCCCTTTATAATTGGGAGGCCTTACACTAAAGGAAAAATTGTGATGCTTCATTCTTCTCCCCCCCTCCCCCCCGTTACTTCCTGAGTCTCCCAATAGTGATGTTATCAATAAAATGTTGTGCGTTGATTAATTATTTGAGGAGCATGTCAAATTATCAAGAAATGAGAAAACACATACCATAAGCCAGATGGTGAATATGTACATGACTTCAGAGCAGGAAATACAATTTGGTAAAGTCTTTGGTTCACACAGAGCTTTGCTCTCCCACAAGTGAAATCATGAGACAACACAACGGTTTTGGGTTAACAATGGGCAACTTTTGTTATATGTTGCCAATGAATCTCTGTGTTATCTGCTAACCAGTTTAAGGGCATGAACATAAAATTGAAATTGTACATGAACTTGAACTTACACTTGAATTTTTTGTGTAATAAAAACGAGGCAGTGGCCATCAGAGACCAACTCATCCTCCAATAATGGGCGAGACACCACAGTCCCTGGATGCAATCCAAATGTTGCATCCAAATGGGTGGAGCATTGAGCCTCTATCTGCCCTCTTTCGTGATGCACATGGATGTGTAGCTATTCCTATTTTATGCACGTGAAATCTACTTAGAACCCACTCACCCAATTTGCCACAGATTAACCAATGTAAGGTAGGCGAAAAAAACCCCAAAACCAAACCCTCACCCTCATGCTGAGGACAAGAAATGAATTCTTATGAAATGCTTTTCATACCTCTCTCATGTAGAAGCTAGTCCAAAAACCTGTTTTATACCTTTGCAATCACTACTCACTAATGTATGTGCCACTTGTGAGGCATACATGATTGTCTTGTCACATTAACTTCCACTTCTCTTCCACTGCTTAGAGCTGCCTCTAGTTGTTCATATTCGTTGTTTACCTGATGGAGGAGCCGATCTTTCCTGTGAAACACCTGGACAAGCCAATGATAGTATTTATTGGACTCTGAATGGAAGTACAATGGATGATGTTGATGTTTGCCACAAGGATGGTGGTAAGAGGATTATTTTAGGAAAAGAAGTCCATGGAAAGCTGGTTTGCCACAGAAGAAACAGCTGCAGCCATTCCTCCATTGTGTTGTCATGTAATGAAGGCAATGATGGTAAGTCATATTTTAATTCCCTTTTAGGGAAGTTGAAAGTGCTGTCTTGATGCTTATCTGCAAATCTGTCTCTTTTATACTCCAAGAGGTGAGAGAAGAAAGGAAGATGATTTGTAATGTAATCTTTTAAATATTTCATGTAGTGGATTTCATTACCAGTGTGATTGCAGTTCTTGTACTAGAATAAGTAAACAATAAGAAAGAGAAATAGTTTGTCCTCATTTAAGTCCTTTTTCAACTTGATTTTTCCTGTTGCTGTGTAGCATTTCAGTGAATTAGAGGCCTCTTAAAACACCTGCTAAGGGTATGTTCCTTATACAAAGATGGGGAAAATGTGGCTCTCCAGCCGATATTGAGTTACAATGCCCATCATTCCTGACATTAGCAATGTTAACTAGGTCCAATGGGAGCTGTGTTACAACAACATCTGGAGCACTTCTTTCCTAGTTATAGATGGTGAAAAACTGATATTTTTGCTGAAGAGGCCATAAAACTTATTCATGCATGTATTACTAACACTGGTGATAAGCAGAAATGCTTGTGGACATATCTAATTATGTGACATTGTTCTAGAAGTAGAAAAACACATTAGACCTCCCTCCACGTCCTTAATTCTCCAGACCCAAAGCATCATAGTATAAACAGTCTGCTCTTAAGATCCCATTTGTTCTAATTTGCTTGAACCTAATTTGTATAGGGCTTCATAAATTCACAACCAATACTCTGCAGCCAGTGTAGCTGATGCAGTAGGGGAGTTGTATGGTTCCTTTAGCCTGCCCTAGTTAAGACTTTTGTCACAGCTCTTTACAATAGATGAAGTTTCCAAACATCTTCAGAGGCAGCCTCATATACAGCAATAGTTAAGGTAAAGGTTTCCCTTGACATTAAGTCTAGTCGTGTCCAACTCTGAAGGGTGGTGCTTATTTCCATTTCTAAGCTGAAGAGTTGGTGTTGTCCATAGACACCTCCAAGGTCATGTGGCTAGCATGACTGCATGGGGATCCGTTATCTTCCTGCCAGAGTGGTACCTATTGATCTACTTACATTTGCTTGTTTTTGAACTGCTAGGTTGGCAGAAGCTGAGGCTAACAGCAGGAGCTCGCTCTGCTCCCAGATTCAAACTGTCTACCTTTTCGTCAGCAAGTTCAACAGCTCAGCGATTTAACCCACTGCACCATTGGGGGCTCCAATATGTACAGCAATAGACAGTAATTGAAAAAGGATGTAACTAAAGCATATATCACCCAGGGAAGGAGGCTTTTCACAGAATAGACACAGTTGTCTCACAAGATTTAAATGTGAAAAGGCACTTCCGGCCATCACAGAAACCTAAGCCTGAGTGCAGAGTACATCCAAACTGTGAACCTCTGTGGGATTATAACACAATTTAAGACAAGGAGAATCCCTATTCCTTGATCTGCATTTTGATTGAGAAGAAGCACCTCTGCCTTATCTGAATTAAACTTGTTTGTAACATCCAATGAAGGATGTCAGGCACTGGTTTAAAATGGAAACCCCTGTTTTGAAGTTAGTAGGAATTTGGCTGTCATTGGCATATTGAAAGCCAAATCTCTGGACAGAAATTGCCCAGCAGTTTCATGTAGTTTTTGGATAACATAGGGGTCAGGGGCGACTCCACAAGTCAGCAGCTAAGGACCTAATTTAAGGATCCCTCCAGCATCATTTTTGGTACTAGGGAAATCAGCTTTCCTTCAGTAAAGACTAGAGATGATATAAAACAGTGCCTCCACATCCTGTGCCAGTGGGCTGGCCAGAAAGTGAATGGTATCAAAAGCAGACAAGAGGTCAAGCAAACCCAACAGGGACATATTCCTCCTGTCCCATTCCTGGCCATGTACTAAAGTGATCTAAGATGTCTTTGATAGAAGGATTCGGGAAATAATTTTTCAACAGAAGCCTTACAATGGCCATCTTTAGGCTACAAGCCCACCCTCCCCATTCACATCTCTCTTTTAAAAAACAGCCTTGCATTAAGATCAAGTTTGAACCAGTAGATTATAGTGTGCTGCCACCAAAAGCTATTAACCTTGGCAAGCTCAATTTTGAATTTTCCAACCATGTGTTTTTCCCAGTCTTTATTGCATTGTTTTTCTAGCACTGACACAGAAGAAAAAGCTCTCAATATGATGACCGAATGCTCCAGGGCTCAACTTGTGATTCTTGCCTAGATATCCTTTCCCAAATTATTACAAATGCTAGCAATTTACAACACAGTATTACAATATCTACCTCATGTATAATTGGATCACTTATAATTTCAACAATGAATTTTGCTTTTTAATGCTTATGTCCTTGTCTAAGCTGCTTACTACACAAACAAGCAAGCTGTGTATGAGTGTGTAAATATCTTTATTATCCATTGCTTCCTCAATGTTTCGAACGAATTACAGTCAATAATGGGTTGCTTACAAGCTGCTAACTGCAAGCAGTCGTGCATTGCTTTGCTATTTATGGTTCAATAAGTGTGCCGTGCAGTCCCCTCTGTCACAAAGTGCTATTTGTGTTCTTTCATACTGTTGCAGACTTAGAGGCAGAGCAGCAATTGCAAGACTCATGCCCTGTCTCATTTCTATACTCAGATTAATATAAGAGGGTTGGGTAGACTGACTTTTGTTTTTATGCATGCATTGTTACCTAAACACTTCTGCTAAAAAAAATGCAGTTTTAAATGCTACCAGAAATGTTCCCAATTATATTTGGACTACATTTGCTTTGCTTCTTCTGTTGTTTTGGAAACCTCTGCCCTCAAGATGGAAATATTTCTTTTGAGGTGGGTAACTCTAGTGGGAGCCCCCGGTGGTGCAGCAGGTTAAACCACTGAGCTGCTGAACTTGCCAACCAAAAGGGGAGCGGGGTGAGCTCCCACTGTTAGGCCCAGCTTCTGCCAAACTGGTAGTTTGAAAATATGCAAATGTGAGTAGATCAATAAGTACTGCTTTGGCAGGAAGGTCAGGGCACTCCATGCAGTCATGCTGGCCACATGACCTAGGAGGTTTCTACAGACAACACCGGCTCTTCAACTTAGAAATGGAGATAAGCACCACCCCCGAGAGCTGGACATGACTAGACTTAATGTCAAGGGGAAAGCTTTACCTTTACCTAACTCTAGTGAATGCAGAGTCATTTCACCTTCTCCCATCTTCGGCAGGATGTACCAGATCATTTTTCATACCTTTCCCAATTTTTGTATGTGTGTTTGGGGTGTGTGTATAAAAATGGGTAATTGCTCTTTGAAGCCTTGGGGAGATGAAATTTTAAGGGTACTCATTCTACCACAAGGCTGTAGGAGTGGTCTGCCTGTTAAAAGTTCTCAGAAATTACCAGATTAGTGACTGGATAATAGATAATGTTGACTTCTTATTGGATGTATCTACAAGACTATTAACTGAAGCAGACCAGCAGGATGGCAATGAAAACAATGTTCCTCACCCTTTCTCTCCCTTCTATTGTTCTTTGTGCTTTTTATTAATTTGTCTGATGTTAGGGTCTTCTTTAGCCTTTCGGTTTTTAGGAAAACTAGCACCCAATTAATTCCTGGTTCCATGATTCTAATCAATGTTATTGATTAGAATTTTGAACAAATAATAGTTTGGATTCTATCCAAGAACTAGAAATCTATGCCGTATTGTCAGATAATATGCAATGCTCAAAACAGTTTTCCTTTTTGTACTCACTATGATGATTTCATTCAAATGTTTGGTCAATCCATTTAGAATGGTCCAGAGCAGTGGTTCCTTGTTTTGACCAGGGACCACTTTGACCAGGGACCATTCTCCAACATTAGTATTGAAAGGGTTACGAATCAGTTTTTGGTCAACTTTAGATTTGGTTTGGTTATTTGGGGTACTGATTCAGAAAATTGCATTGGATAGGCCACATCAGCTCTAGTTTCTGATACAGAACATATGCCATCAAGTAATCGCCATCTGCTTGCCCACAGAAAACCATATTTAATAAGCCTCGGCATTATAAGAGGGTTTTGTGAGATCAGCTACTCTCCTTGCCACGGTGTAGTAACAGTGAGGGCATGGACCATATTTTAGTTCTTGCAGACCAAAGGTAGACCACAGGCTGGGAACCACTGGTCCAGAGACACCTATCTGGAACCACAATTAGTTTCTTTTCCTAGAGGTGCTGAAACTCAATTTTTAGGACTCAGTATATTATTATTATTATTATTATTATTATTATTATTATTATTATTATTATTAACTTTATTTGTACCCCGCTAGCATCTCCCGAAGGACTCGATGCAGCTTACACGGGCCGAAGCCTCAAAACACAATACAATAGAAAACATAACACAACAATAAATAAAGCAAATCAAAACAATTAAGCAAAATAACAACAATTACAATACATCAATACATCAAGACACTATTAAAACTTGTTCGGCCGGCGCAAAGGGGTACAGGGTTAAAAGTGCTGAGATGGCAGGAGGAACGTAGGATTAAAAGTGCGGTGTGCAGTATTTCACAATGCTTCCTCTCTCTTTGTTCTCAACAATCCTCCTCCTCTTCTTCCTCTTCCTCCTTTTTAAACAGGTTCTTTGTTTCGCTCAGGGGATCTACTGCAGAACCCATTGTTCCTGTACATTCTGTCAGGATGTGGTGGTGGGGCTGTCCTTCTGGCCATCCTCACCTCACTGATTACTTGCTGTTGCATGAAAAGCAAACATCATTTCATCCCAGTGCCTGCCGGTAAGTAGACATTTTCCTGTTCTTAGAGGCTGCTTCAAAACACGATCCTATGATGTTTACTCAAACTGAGTGAAAATCATTCCAAAAAACATATTAGAAAAAAACATCTTCCCACCCCCCCCCCCTCTAATCAGGGCTTTTTTCTTCAGATTGAGGGGGCAAGACTTTCTCCCTAGAAGGGATGAAAGGGTGTTTACCTAATCACACTAGAGAATGAATCCACTTTAAAACCATTTTCTGTCTCCTGCGAATTTTGGGGTTTGTAGTTTAGGGAGAAATCTTTAACTGCCTCACTAAACTACAAACCTCAGAATTCTGCAGGAGGCAGCACCCCGATTTAAAGTGGGTTCATTCTCTAGTGTGATGAAGTAGTAAGACAAGGTATTACTACTCACTCAAAACATCTATTGCAAATATCTTCCTGAAAGATGATCGGCAGCAACCTTCTCCAGCCTGGTGCACTCAAAATATGTTGGACTGTAACTCCCAATCCATCTGTAGGGAACAGGTTGATAAAAGCCAACTACAGCTTGATATAATGGACCACCTATATATAACTGAAGAATTCAATATTTTCATTATTACAAAACTCAACTTGAGATCCCACTGTGTTAAGACTGTGGCTTCTGTTTAGCCAACACACTCTCCCCACATTTGTGGTTTCTAATTTTAAGTTTTTCCCCCAGCTAAATGATAAATAAGAAATATGTGCAAAGGCTGCTGAAGTACTGGTGTTTGTAGCTTTCAGTTTTTACCACTCTAGTTACATGGTGACAATTTTCTTTATAGAAAACTAAAACATAAACTAGATTACAGGCTAATTTTAGGATATTTGGTAAATTGAGTATTAATAGAGTTGTGCTGTTGAAGGCTTTCATGGCCAGAATCACTGGGTTACTATGAGTTTTCTGGGCTGTACGGCCATGTTCCAGAAGCATTCTCTCCTGACATTTTGCACATATCTATGGCAGGCATCCTCAGAAGTTGTGAGGTATGTTGGAAACTAGGCAAGTGAAGTCTGTATTTCATTTTTTTAAAAAGTATTCCATATAACTCTATTTTTGTTTTGATCTCACTCCAATAAATTTGGGAGTGAATGCCACTGTAAGAACCTTAAACACTGCAAACACTAATAGAATTGTTTCACATATGCATAGTATTACAGC